ACATTAGTTCCTGACATACTGACGTATTGTATCAATAATTAATACAATACAAAAATGAGTAGGTACATAATATAACTTAAAGCAAGGACTGGAGCCGAACCTAAAAGAACCTGTTCTGGAACCGGAACCTTTAAAATTTTAAGAACCGGAACCGTTATTATATTTTTGGAGAACCGGTACCGGAACCGATACCGATAAATTCAAAAGGTTCCAGTCCCTGACTTAAACACTAAACACTAAAACGCCTAGTTGGCAGCCACTAAAGGCTAATTATAAAAATGTGCATCACAAATCACAATATTCAGAATACATGGAATAATCCAAAGACAAAGCATATTATAATAAAACATTGTGAGTAGAAAATAATTTAAAATAAATATTCTACCTAATAATAAATTAAATACGTATCTATAGTGTATATTTATTATAAATATATCTATCTTAATAACTTAAAATTTATAACATTGTAGCGATGTTCATATCAGTACATCGTACACATAAGTTAATCGAAAACTTCACAAATAAATAACCCAACGTCATAACTAAAATATGTGTTATACGATTAACTCGTATAACAAATAATATTATAGATTTGATTGCAAAGTATTAACATAATATTATTTGTATTTAGTACATTAATTCAATGAATATTAATGACAGTTCACCGTACTTGTATTCTTTGATATTCACAACAGTATATTATATCTCATGAGTACTATAATTCTTTTAGGATTTCGGGCTGAATCAAATTCTAAAAAATATAGTACCTAATTATTGATTACCATTATTACTATTAATTATTAAAAGTATTAACTATTTTGGTCCTTGATTATAAAATAATTAAGATTTTACAGATTTCCAGTTAATTAAATAGGTAGGTAATCTCAAAAAAATAGTTAGTCCAACAATAACATTTTTAATCAGTATTTTTTTCTTTGAACTTTTTAATAAGTTTGAGTGGTGACTGATATTAATGGTTGTAAACCGATTATTTTGTCTGAGTAACCTGAGTACTTACAGAAAATAAATATACTGATTAAAGATACTAAAAAAAAAATGTAATCGTGATTGTTTATTATTAAAAATGAACATAATGGCGTAATAGTGATATATTTGTCTATCATATGAATAGTATACCGATTATTGAATAAAACCGCTAAATAATTATGTTAATGCGGTTATAAGTCTTAAGTGATTAAGTATCATAAATTGTATACAATACTGTATAGCACAAATACGTGTAGGATACCACATCCCCTAGCATTCACCCCCCTCCATTTTTACCCTGTAATAATGCAAATTCTGATTTTTGGAATTTTGTTGTATGGGTACCTACTCAAAGACCATATTTTTAGATATTTAGATTCTTAATATCATCTAAGAAGAGTATAAAAGTGTCTTGTATTTAAATGAGAACTATCCTATTTATTTTGAACTGCTTAGCAGATAATTTTTTTGAAAATTTGTAAGTGTGGTTTCGGAGTTATTAAACTTGATGAATCTATTAAGGTTAATTAAGGATAATTATACTAAATAATATTTATGCAGAAATTGTAATATAGAATGTACTATGTTATATTTGTTCTAGTGCCTGCTACTATAATACTCTATCCTAAATAAAAACAATAGTCGGCAGCCGACTTGTGCGCATAGACTACACGGACATTTTATTGGGTGGGGGTAACAATCGGGTGTTACCACTTGCGCCTGACTGCTTTCCGACGATATCTGGTTGCCACCGACTACCGTTCTTTTTTGGGATAGAGTATAAAATATAATATTATAATACATTGTCTGAGCATGTTTAATGTTAGTACCTATAGTAATATATCTTATACATATAAAAATGGTGTGAAACATGTATAGAAATTCATCAACTGAGAACGGCTGGGCCGAATTGGCTCAAATTTTTTCAGTTGCTTGTAATTGCCAGGAGAAGGCTTTTGAAAGAAAATTTTGGAAAAACCCAATTTTTTTTTAACGCAAAAGATTTGAATTTCTCTATGAGATCTATATGAATAACACACTCGCACACAATATGATTCAACAATTCCTCGGCGATGCCACCGAGTAAAATATACTTTTTAGAATCAACGTGGAGATGACGGAATACTAGAAAATTAGAACGATACGTCGTATTTAATCTTATCCAATTTGCATTAATTGCGAATCATTCATTATGTATTATTTTTTTTTTTTTTTTTAAGAGTATTTTCTGTTGAATACAATAATTGCTTGAGTAATGCTTCTTACTAGACGATCAAACCTTGGACGACGTACACTTTGTTCAATAATCAGTCAGATGGTCCGTGCTGATCAAAAGCAAGGGGAACGTGCATCAGCAAGTTAATGGAAACGTGCCCATATTGCACAGGTTCGTGCTACACAATCGCACTACCTCAAATTCGACAAAATGCTGAAGGTGGAATCATGTTGCGGAATTTGAATCATCTGAAATTGTGCAACGGTACTCGATTGTCCGTCAAAAAACTGATGAACAATGTGATTCAATAGCGACGATTATCAAGGGCAAAATTCAAAGGAGAGGAAGTCCTTATCCCATGAATTCCGATTATTCCAATTGATCTTCCGTTCCAACTCAAGCGGATTCAGTTCTGGATTGGCTTTTGATATGACAGTCAATAAATCGCAAGGGCAATCGTTGGAAGTCTGTGGTATCCATCTCGAATATCCATGTTTTTCGCAAGGTCTGCAGCTGTACGTTGCCAGTTCCGGTGTTGGCAAACCGTCTTCGTTATTTGTTTTTGAGCTGAAAAACAAAACGAAAAACATTGTTTATCATAACGCTCTCTACTGATTTAGGTTCCATAAATTACATTGAAATTTGAACTGTATGTGTTTTATTATCACTCTGAAGTTTATCTGAAGGCGTTAAATTTTAGGAGAGACGAGAGGTAGATATTTTTTATACTAAATAATTCAGTAGAAATATATGGCAAAACAACCATTGCCAAGTCGGCTATAGTAAGTTTATTATAAAATTATAAAATGATAATCTATTACTATTAATTACTTGCTATAATTTTAAAATCTTCATACTATTGGAAAATTAGATGATGTAACTCAAAATTGACGACATGAAATCCGTCAGAAAAAAGTCCTCGTAAGTAGTTGAAGTTAATTCTATAGGTTAATCTAACTAATGTTACGAGTCCATAATCTTCGATATTTTTCCTCTACAAGGAAAATCTATCATAAATATGATTTTGTTAATAAGTAACCGTGACATCGAAAACGTTAGGTACCTATAAATCGGTTACACAAAACGGTGAGAAAAAATATTTGTGGTATATTTGAGGTCACCACAATAAGAAAAATATTATAGGCCATATTAATTTAGGCCATATTTTCTTTCTGTACAAATCAGCAAGTCCAATAATTTCAGCAAAACATCCCTATGCCCCGTGTGTATAATAATTATAATTATACCACAGATTATATGAAAACATAATCTGTGATTGTATACCTTGTAGAATAATATTACCGTCGGGTTTTTGCAAAGGTATTTAAAAACCTTCAAACCCGTCGGGTTTTTGCAAACGTGAAACGACGATGACGTTGATCATTTTAAAAATAAACCTCAAGTATATGCACCTTAATTTCTAGTAGATTTATAATGATATACAGTTAACGGTAAAATTATTAATTAACATTGTATCATCAAAAGTTTTTCGCGTCCACCATATATTTACAGTATATACATATATACTAAAATTCCGTGAACCCTGATAACTTTATTGTATAGAAAAAATTTTATCTGATTCACTTATATTATCTCTTCTCAATCATTAAACTAAATTTATCTGTACGAAAGTTTTTATATAAATAACACCTATCTTGTTTGTACGATACCTAAATATTTGAAACTAACTTTTTTTTTAAACTTTTCGGTTACAATATATAATCGTATTACTCAGCGACATAAGGTTGGTAACTTTGATGATAGACAGCTTTCAAAATGTAATTTAAATTAATTTTCCTCACTATATAGAAACATGTATTCACAAGAGATTTTTAAAACATACGCTTGTGTATACTATAATAATTGTGTAAGACCGCAACAAATAAATAAAATATCGTAAGAATAGACAAAAATTCTTAGGCTTAAACGTTCCCATAAAATAATATTATATTATATCATGTACATACGATAATAATAAAGTATTGAATATACGGTAATCTGGCGATGTCGTCTGAAACGAACGGGGGAAAAACTTTAATGTGTTCTGCGGATAGCACATTGTTTGTATGTGTAGGAACGTTTTCTGTAAGTGTAGGTAGGTATTAGTGTATTATAAACGTAAATAACGTAATATTATACTGGAAACGTTTTCTGTATTATACCTACGCAGAACTGACAACAACATAATATAAAATATATTATTTTATTCACCAGGTCAAAAATATACGTAACTCTTTTCCGTATCGAATGCTATAAAAACGTGTGTTGCGCGTGCAAATATAATATATTGTACATAAACTTATATCGTATAAAAAAAATGTAACCTATGAAATATCATATTGTACATAGATATTATGTGTAGTGTGCAGTGTGCACACAAGAGAAAATAATATAAATTATTTTACCAAAAAGTTAAAATCACTGCATGTTAATAATTGTACGGGGATGAGGTATACGCCGTATACTACAATTTCCAAACTAGTTTTCAATAGACTGCGACGTTAGTAAAATTCACGCCTGTTCGTTCCACTTTGTTCAGTTAATATACTACCTATAAGGGGACGAGGATGCCTATCTAAGTCTGAACAAAAATATAAAAATCGACTTAATTGGCCACTTGGGTCAATTAGAATCTAATTATTAGATGACCCGGCTTATATAATATTTCCATATTGGTAACCGATTACCGATATAATATTACGCACGTATAAAGTGGTTTCAAATAGTTCATTATTTTGGTTACGAATCCAAAAGTATAATAACCAGTTAGTAACAAAATTATTTTTGTCATTCACAGCCGTTCGAATCGTCCTCAGGGGCAAGGCCCACGCGGAGTGGCAAGTGTTGGTCAGCGGTGATCGTTCGGCTATAAAAGACGATCAATACTTCATCGACAATCGTTCGTTAATCTTCGGCAAAGGTTTGTAAATGCAAGTATGAAATATGTAAGCAGGGTTGGGTAAAGTACTTTTTGAAAGTATTTAGAACAAATAAGTACTCAAATACTTATGAAAAATAGTATTCCGAATAATGTGTTTCAAATGCAATATACAAACACCCCAAATACCTACTTTTAAAATTATTTTTGGTTTGGATATTAAATAAATTATACTTGCTGCTGGAAAAATTGAAATTATAGCAAGAATAAGATAACACCATTTTTATCAATTATTCAGGAGTCAGGACGAGCAAAAGAAATTCTGTTTTCTCATTTACCACTATTGGCGGGAAATAATACATTTTGTAATGAAAGACATTAGTCTTTGGGAATAATAAATCGATTTTTCTGATTTTGATACCAAAATAAAGATATTTCTTCCATGAAATTTATTCTACGAAAACGGTTTTTTGATAAAAATGGAGTAATCTTGTTAAAATATTAAAATATTTAATATTATATTGTACAGGGTTGCTAGTTTTTTAATATTTGTACCTGTATAATGTATTATATACACTGTATATAATACAACTAATATAATATTTTATTATTTACAACATATTATAACAATAAAATTAAATAAAATTATATTAATTATTAAAATAAAAAATCCTCTCTCGAAATGCTTTAAAAATTCAGCTTTAAATACATTTGGAAAACAGTGTTCTAAATGTAAATATTAAACTGCGTGTGATGAAATACTTTACTTGGAATTCTATATCATAAAGTCCGTACAACGCCATGTATGTATATATTACTATATTATTATGTGATATACGATAATCTACACTCGTGTTGAACTCGAATAAAATAGAAATGCTTAGTGTAAGAAAATACCTAATTCTCCACCGAGGAAATTTAAATGTGAAAAAATGTATTCCAGTAGACCGGCAAGAAGGTCCCGCTCCGATACTGCCTCGCGGAATTCACCACTTCCCGTTCAAGTTTCAACTTCCTCAGAGCTCTCTGCCTTGTTCGTTCGAGAGCAAGCCCGGATACGTCAGATACTACATCAAGGTAAACTCCGTGTGAATGCCGTATATAACGCACCACGTATATATCCTACGGACCTAAAACGTATATTATATCAATAAATTGTACTTCCACTGCTACGCCTTGTACCTATAAATTAGTTATGTATTCGGTGATTTTTTTTCATTTGAAATAAACGATGTTTGCGGGCGATTTATGTGAGCAATGAAAAAAAAAGACACCTAAAGTGCATTGGCGTTGCTAAAATAAGACGTTTATATTAATAGCTAGTGGCTCTTACTATTTAATTTACTTAGTATTTTATAAACGCGCGCGCTCTGTAGATATGTTATGTATACATATTATATATATATTATAATATAATACCGTGTGATTCATTTAACGCAAGACACTCATTATTTAAAAAAGTATTCATTTTTTTACAAGGTTAAAGAAATATTATATTTTTAAATATTTTTTATCCTTATAATTTTTAAGTTTTTATTTTTTGTACTAAAATATATACAGTTTTAATTGCAGCTTCGAAAGCAGAATATTTTTCTGAGTATTTCGATTCATGAAAATCGAATTTAAGACGAGGAGTTTATAAGTTATAAGTATCCATTACTCCTCTCATCTAAAGTTCAAATACTGATAACTCATAAGCCACTACTGTCCTAAATTCGATTGTTATGTATCGAAATACTTAGAAAAAATCTCTGAGATTATCATCAAATTCGATCCGTAGTTTTTGAATCTATAAGCTAGACACATACATTTCATTTTAAGATATAGTTTCTTTAGTCAAAGCCATGTAAACGCGACGATTTGATGAATGCTTATACTTGATCTGCCCGAGTCACCAATGGCAACCATTTAAATACAAAATAAAAAGTTGCTGACATACGGTTATGGTTAAGAAGTGGTAAACCACTCAATATTTTCCACTCCAAGGAAAATTTGTGAATTATATTTTTGTTTTTGTTAATAATAGTAACCATGCCAACGAAATTCTCACAAAAAATTGGTGATGAGTAAAAATATGTGTACCCGCCCATTAACATATTTTATATATGTTAATATTCTGCTTTGGAATATGAAATTAAAAACTGTTGTCGTTCAAACAAGTAAAAACTTAAGATATGTTAAGGATAAAAATGTGGGGTTTTAACGACTGTTTGTCATGTACAATTTTTGTTCACAATAATTTATACTTTTTCAAATAATGAGTGTACAATAATAAAAGAATCACCTGGTATATTATAATTTATAATCAATAACAATATCGACATATTCCTGCTATACGAACTCCTATAGAGACAACAATACAATAGAAATTAAACCATTTTTTAAACTCAATATATTACACATTTCAAAGCAATAAGCAAGAATAATATAATATATGCGTGTTTTTTGTGTTCGTATGGACGGCCATAAACTTATTTTAAAATCGTATAGCGGTTTGGATTTTTGTGGGGATGTTAAATTCGAGGAGCTATATGAAAGGGTCTTGTGAGAGGTTTATAGTAACCCCCTAGTTGTCATTATATCATACGTATGTGCACTTAATTTTTACTCACCCTGGTCAGAGACTTGTCTTTTCCGCAGGTCACTCTCGACATACCGTACGCGTCTCCTCCGCAAGGCATGAAGTACTTCACCATCATAGGACCACACATTGACTGCATGGACGATCAATATCTGGTGAGTAATATAATTTTTGTTTATAGGATATAATAATTTCGAAAGTAGTTTAAAAAAAAATACATTTTTGGGGCCATTAACAGCGAATTAATGAATTCAAGTTATATTTATTCCAATTTATTAACTTTTTTATTCATTAAATATGTTTACAATCTGTATATACACAAAATAATACAATAAGTAAATATATAGGATGACAATATGAATTCTAGACGTGACAAGCGTGAGAGGACCGAGCGTCCACCGATACTACTACCAATTTATGAACTTAGTATGAATAAATTGAAAGTAAAACATTTTTTTGATATTTCTTGGGAAAAAAAATATTCTGTACAACTAATAGTACATTACGGATACCTAATTAATATATTTTAATGATGAGCATGCCAATACATCGGATTCAGCATTCGCCACTGCTGTATAGTGTATTGGCGTATTGCTATAATGCTATTAGTAATGCTTTTAAGTTTTTTAAAAAAGATAAATATATATATAATATTGACATATGATATATTATATTGTGTAGTTGCATTTTCCAAGTTATTAAAATCTGTCTGTTGATACACACGATCCTAAAATTTGAGTACATACTTACACGCATATGCTTAAGAAGTCGATACGATCCATTTTAAACGCTCTGCGTACTTCTATCGTGACGTTTAGAGTTTATACGAATGAAATACATATTATGTTATTTTATCATTTGAAGCAGTCTACCCTTAATTGATGCAAACCTAGTAAATATTTAATTTACTCGGTTAAAATGTATTGACTATTTTTACTGAATATCAATCTTTTTTACCGAAGAAGTTATAAATTCAGCATTTACCGAACTTAAGGTAAACACGTACGTAAATATTACGTCTCTAATTATAGCCTTACACCACTATACAGTACTGAGTACTGTACTAAAAAGCTTACACATTGAAAATGCTGCTATTATCGTAGATTTAAAAAACGCAAATGTGACAATTTTATTGTAACCACTCTGTATGTATACATCCACACTGATACAGTCAACGCCAACATTGTTTTCAAGATTTCCAACCTGATGTAATATATTTTTTCCCTTTATTGGTTAAGCCTCGACTACACAGGTTATTAACTTTAACAAGAGCGTATTACTTTTTTACATTATATTATATTATGTTATTGTATAATACAATTTTTTTTTAATTATAAAATTATGTTTTGTTAGTTTGATAATTAACCAATATTGCGTCATTACTAGGTTGTCAGGGATGTTGAAGTCTTTCCTATAGCTTCATTGAAGTTTGGGCAGTGATATAATATTATATATAAAATATTCAGACTTAAATGTTTAGAAAATATTATATACTTGTACGTATGAAATTTATATTTTCCACGTATATTTATATAAGTAAATAGGTACCAACGCATTATTTTTACACATTTTTTTCAATTTTTTTTTTTCAATAGTTTATTTTTCATATACTGATTTTGAAGTTTAGATGAGCGGAATAGAAGAACAAACATTCGTAAAACCTAGCAGGGTTTGCATAAAGGTTTCTTATAAAATATATAAACCGTTGAGGATCGATATTATTTTTGTACCTTTTCAATTTCGAAATTATAAACAAAAATATCCCAATAAAATTTGTCGTTCGTTTAAAAATCACTCTATAGATACTTGAAACGTATCGCTTATCTATATATGTTGTATAAATTAAACGTTATAACTATAAAACATCCATAATATTATTGAATGTTTCTTAAACTGATGCATGTTTCATGTTTGTAAATACTAAATAGGTAAGTCGTAAGTTATTTTTAATTTAAAAAAGCACATTACAACCTGAGAATTCAAACAAATTTTCAGAGCCTTATCCAGTTATCCATCAAGAATGTACTTTTTTAATTTTTTTTTTCCAATTGCCGATGATGTATGTCTATTCACAGATATTTTTTTTTTTTTTTTTTTTTTTTTATTTTTTTTATTTTTAAACGTAATACACAATCTGTATCGACTAGACACAATAAGCATATATGATGAAAGTTACAAAGAATGACATGGAAATTTGATGAAAGAAGCCATCCATCGATGGCACTTTCTATGGATTTTTTTTTTATTTTTTTTGCTTATCTTAAGAGATCGCGACACCACTTACGCTTCAGGCGTTTAGGGGGATTACCAGGTATGGAAGGAGTAGATAAGTTTTTTATGAGTTCGTTAGGGTGGCTAATTAGTTTGGAATAGAATCTTTTATAATATATTTTGGCTTCGTCGTTAATTGTTTTGAGTTTGGTGTCAGTATGAAGGGTGTGATTAGACACGTAGGGTGGTGCATTCATTATTTTTCGGAGAGCGATATTTTGAAATGTTTGAATTTTCAGTATGTTAGACTTTTTAGCGTTTCCCCAAAGTTGGAGTCCGTATGTCCAAATGGGTTTGAGAAGTGTTTTGTAAATCAGAATTTTGTTTTTAATGGCGGTAGAGTTATTGCTTATTAAGGGTTTGAGGATACGGAGACGATGATTCAGTGCTAATCTTTTGATTTTGATGTGATGAGCCCAGGTTAACCTTTGGTCGAGAGTGAGCCCGAGATATTTGATTTTTGGAGAGTAAGGGATAGGAATACCGTATAGAAAAACTGTAGGACAGGAAGCATGTTTGAGGGTGAAGGTAGTATGTACAGATTTGCTTTGGTTTACTTTGAATCGCCAGTTAGTAAACCATTTTTCCATGTGGTTAAGGTGAGTTTGGAGATTATATGACGCTATGAATGGATCATTGTTAATAGATATTATTGCTTTATCGTCAGCGTAGTCAGCTACGGATGTATTGGGGGTAGTTGGTTGATCAGAAGCGAAGATATTGTACAGAATAGGAGACAAAATGCCCCCTTGGGGAACACCAGCATTGATAACTGCTACATCAGATAACGCAGAACCGTAGCGTATTTGAAAATGACGATCTGATAGATAGGATTTAATAAGTAAGTAGTAGGTGGGAGGCATGAATTTCTTAAGTTTATACAAAAGCCCATCATGCCATACGCGGTCGAATGCTTGTGAGATGTCTAAAAACACGCAATTGCAGAACAGTTTTTTTTCCAGGGAAAACGAAATAGAGTCTACGACTCTGTGTGCTTGATGAATAGTTGAGTGAGAAGCGCGAAACCCAAATTGGGTGTTTGGAAGAATATTTTTTTCAGTAATTATCGGGAGAATTCGTTTCAGAATTAACCGTTCCAGTATTTTGGCGAAAAAAGGGAGAAGGCTGATTGGACGGTGTGATGATGGTAGTTCAGGTGGTTTGTTTGGTTTTGGAAATAAGATTATAGTTGCGAATTTCCATAGTAGGGGAAAATAGGAAAGTCTGAGTGAAGCATTAAATATATGAGTGATGTGAACTATGGCTCTAGCTGGCAGGGATCTGGCTACTACCGCAGTAATGCAATCATAGCCTGGTGATTTTTTTAGAGCATATTTTTGTATAGCATATTTTACATCATTAGGTGTAAATGACTTGACATGGAGAGAAACCGGGAGGGGGGTATTTAAGAACGTTTCGACTTGATTCATGTTTTCAACGTCTATGATATCGGCGTGTGGTTGAAAGGTATTAGCAAGATGATCCTTAAAAAGTTCAGCTTTTTCGATATCCGAAGTAGCTAAGCTACCATCTGATTTTTTAATAGGGAGATTTGGAGATTTATAGCGAAGTATTTGTTTTGTTTCTCTCCATAGGCTACCGTCTGTGGGAGTGAGTTTCATTAAGTGATTTTGCCATATGTTTGACTTAAATTCAATGAGCAGTTTTTTTAGTGAGTTAGCTAGTTGGTTGTAATTAAGTTTATGGGAAGGTAAACGCGTGCGCTGGTATAGAGCTCTTGCTCTTCTTTTTTCAACAATTTTGTTGCGTATGTATTCAGGAAGTGAGCTTGCAGAAGGAGGTGCTGGCATTGTATTTGTAGCCGACCATGCTGCAGTTTGTATTATGTTGGTAAGATTGAGGACCGCTTGGTCTATGTCATTGGGTGATTTTAATTTTGTGTTTAGCTTAATTTTTGTGTTAACTAGTTCATGAAATTTAACATGATCTGTGAATTTGTTAAATAATTTGTTGGATTCTTTGACAGAAGGGGAAGTATTGAGCGTTAGGAGTATTGATGAATGGTCAGAATTTAAATCGGGTAAGTTTTTAGTAGAGTGGAACAAGGTGTTCGGTAAATTGGAGACAAAGATATCAAGAATATCAGGATTTTTACGGGCCGAAGAGGGCCAATAGGTTGGATCAGGTGGAGCTAGAACTTTAAATCTCTTAGTGTTTATATAGTTATATAAGGTAACTCCTCGGGGGTTATTCACGCGGCATCCCCATGACTGATGTTTGGCGTTAAAATCGCCACCTATGATAAAGTTATTATTAAATGAGTTGAAGTAGTCGGCGAATTGAGAGTTTTTTATGTTATGTTTTGGGGGTAAATAAACAGCAGCAATGGTGAGTGAAGTATTGTTTAACTTTAGGTTAATAGCACAAGATTGGAGAAAGGATTGAGAAAACCTAGGTAGGGGATAGAATTCAATATTAGATTTAATATAAATAGCAGCACCTCCATGCGCGGTATTGTCGGGGTGATTTGATTTAATTAGAGTATAACCGGGTATATGTATATGGGAGAATTTAGTGAAGTGGGTTTCAGAAATGAGGGCAACATCAATGCGTTTGTGGTTTAATACGGTTTCGAGGTCAAGGGCATGGTTTTTTAGTCCATTGGCGTTAAATTGTAGTATTAAGAGCGAATCGTCGGTGACAGATTTATTGTAGTTATTATTAGTCATTATTTGTCGAGGAGCTTGGATATTACTTTAGTTAAAAGAGAAATTAGTGGATTTATAACATTTTTGAATTCGTCTAAAAAATTAGTTAATAATTTGCTTAAATCAGGCGGCTGAGTATCGGTAGAAGGAGGAGACAGATATTTTAATTGGAAAATATTGTATAATATACGGTTACGCAGTGTTTCGGTGAGATT